AGTTTTTGACACAAAAAAAAAACAAACACAAAAGACAATAATTTTTGAAACAGCAAAAAGAATGGCGTACTGGTTCAACGAGAACACTTAATTTTCAAATTTATTCGAAACACTTCTCAAGTTCGGAATCCCATGGGATAAATTTTAATCTGTGCAAAATAGGTTGTAGTTTAAAAAAAAAAATTCAGCTGGAAAAGCAATCGTAATCCCCTTTCAGTTCTCTGTTTTACCGTCATGTGAAAAAGGATATTTAAATAAAGATTATTGGAGTTCGCCTACCCAGTTGTGTAGCTGGGTCGATAGTATGCCCCTTGAGATGTTCAGGAGATAATCGCTTCCCAACCAACGGAGGCTTTCGACAGCTATGTCATTTCAGCCCTCAACGTATGCAAGAAATAATCTAGCCTAAAACTAACTTCTATAATACAGTCGCACAAATAAATACATTCACACCTATGTACATTGCACTCATGATAATCGGTGGAGTCATCAATCAGCTAATCTATATTAGGGCGATGTACATAAGTATTCCTCCATCGACCCTAACGTGTCTGTTTTAAGTGTTAGATGTATCGACCACTTTTTACTCACGAATAATCTGGATCACGGTAAGGTCTTGATGAAAAAGCATCAATTTTCATTGTTACGCTTACGACCTTTTTTAATGTCATCTAGAAAAGAAGTGCCCGAATCTCTAGACTGTAAAAAGTATGAAATGAGAGAGTGAAAGAAATCGCACATACAACCACACCAAAGATCGAAGAGAGGATCACACATTGGTATGACCACATTAGAAGTATGGACTCCAAACAGTGGCCCAAAAAAATCGAAGCTTGGTCCCCTCCGGGACGCTGAAAAAGAGTCAGGCCTTGCACCACATGGATTAAAACGGTAACCAGGATTACCGAAAACAGACTACTTTCCGCAGTAGATGCTGAGGACCGAGATTTGTGGTGAATGCGAGTCAGCAACCGACATTACATTAGAAACGCTGAATAAAAGTAAAAATAGAAAGTAAGCTGATGACCTTAAAATAGGTCGAAAACTTGGCATTAACAATAGAATTTTCTTTTTCATCAAGACCGTGATCGACCTTAAACACACACTACTGGAGGGGCGATGGTGACGCTATATTTCACCATCAACCCCATCCACTCACCCTAATAAATTAAAGCTCTCAAACAAAAGACATAAAACAGATCTACATACAATTTTTTAAAAAACACGCCCTCTAAAAAGCGGAAAAGGGGACCAAAAAACTTGCTGCAGTGCCGAGAAGCTTCTTTTTAAACGAGGTTTCGTAACAGCAGAGGTCATATCAACCCTCGGGTTGTCGATGTTTTTAAAAAAAACGGTAAGTGTATCGTATGCGGGGTCGAACCTGGGACCTTGCAGTGATGAGCACCGTGTCAACGCCTAAACCGTTGCGGCCACACAATCATTCTTAAATCCGGCGGCATACACGCTCTCTGTAAAAAGCCAAGGCATGACAAGATTCTATTATGTGGGACACGTCGAACTTTCTTTGCATAGGGACACCTGCTTGGGCTTTGGCCCAGAAGCAGATAGCTGCCCTGTGTCAACCACGAATGACCTATTCTTAATCTGGTAAGGACAATTCCTCGTTTCCGGCACAAGTTCTGATGGACTTGACACGCAAGAGCCTATAAAGATTATTCTAAAGTCTAGTTATTATTATACATGTTGACAGATGTAAATGTATAATTGGATATAATTCAATAATAATTTATGAAGTTTCCAACGAATCTTAACTGAAAATATCTGTTTGTTTTTTTATATTACAAATGTCATACGTTTCCACTTAACATTAATAATAATAATTTTAATACTTAGTACGATCGATGTAAATTCGCTTTGTTGAACATTACGATTGTGTAATTGAATTTTAAAAAAAATTAATATTTTTGTAATTGACGAAGGCCGTGCAACAATAACAAACGTCACTACCGGTCTCACGACCTCTATACATAATCGTTAATGACCAGTTAAATAGAATTATTATTTCTTAAGGAGATCGCTTTGTACTTTTTTCAACTCCAGGACGATTCAGATTTCGAAAAAAGATACCCAACATAGTTATACCTCTTTTCGTAATATAATTTTCACCGGTTCTTTTGGGCAAAATTGATTTCGTGTCCAATCAGACTTATAAACTATGAATATTAATGCTCTGAAACGTCTGGATTTTTGATAATTCAAATTTTTGTTTATATATTAACACTAATTCATGACTTGCATTAACTTTCCACCGAATACCGTTGGTGCTGCTTCACCGTCGAAGCTTAAGTAGGACGTTTTCTTTTATGCTTATGACCCTCATGGCGCATTGAAAGAAAATGTACAAAGTACGCCTCTAAAGTGTCCCAATTTAAAGTATTATATCCATAATTTAAAAGAAACAAAATATTGAAAAAACTCGTATGTTTTGTATTAGTTATGTTAAGCTCAACAGGTTTTCCAAACGTAGTTTTAATTTCGGAAAAGCTCACGTATTAAAGTAATACAATTACTTCCAAGTGTGATGCTTTAAGGTATGTTTACCTCGACTATTCTCGGTTCGATTGGTTTTCCCAGGTGTTAATCGAGGCTCTTTCTCTCAAAGATCCTCACAACACGAATCGGCTTAATGATCTTCATTATAAGGCCGTGTACCATCGTTGAAAAGGAATTTTCAAAATAAATTACGTAAGATTCAAATTGATATTTAAAAATAAAATTAACGAAACAAATTTATTCTAAATAAATTATAAAGCGATAAAACGATTCACCATTCTTTTTCATGATCCTCCATAAAGTCCTTTTGGCTCTTCTTAGAACCAAGAATTGTAGAAAAAGAATAGCTCCAATTAAGAAGCTTTAAAAAGAGAAGAATTGAGAAGACTAAAAATTCGAAGTTATTGAGTACATCCAGGCAAAGATGTACAAATATAATAATGAATATTTATTTAGAAATCGTGAGATGCGGTCTGGTGTGACGTAGGTTTCAGAAAAACATTTTCTTTATCGTGCCAACGTTTCGATCTTTATTGAGATCATCTTCAGGGCCTGGGATTTACAANCTACATCACACCAGACCGCATCTCACGATTTCTAAATAAATATCGATTAACGGTCACTAATCTCCACACATATAATAATAATGAAATACAAAAATAATCATAACTTCTTACATTAGATACAGCATGTATTTTTATGCCCCGAGATAATTGAAATTTCAACTTCAGCTAGTCGTAGCGTTTCTATTTTTATATGTATATACATTTGTGTTTGAGTGTGTTTTACACCTAATTAAAAAAACTCAGTGTAAAAGTGAGTCAGTTCTGAGCTAACGTGTTTTTAGACGATTTTTTGCACAATTATCCCTCCCCCCATATGAAAATTGTAAAATGACAAAATACAGTTTCAATTAAAGATCCATAAATCTTTTTCAGCTTAATTAGCAATAGTGCCAAAACTATTCCAATAGGAATAAACGATATCTTCAAAATCTTAGAAAGAGAGTAGTTAAAAATTTAAATAATAATTTAATTCACTAATTTCGTGGTCCGCTTGACCAATTAATATATTACAATTAATTAAGGTTTTTAGTTGAGATAAAAAAAGTCAATGGCACGAGCGGGATTCGAACCCACGATCTTCGGCTAGATACGCCGCTGCTCTACCACTTGAGCTATCGTGACCTCGGTTCGAATCCCGCTCGTGCCATTGACTTTTTTATCTCAACTAAAAACCTTAATTAATTGTAATATATTAAATAATAATAATTTGCAAGAACTGCTTTAAAACCATTTTATGAGCTTGTACGGCTCAATAAAGCTCGAATTGGGACAACTTGCTATTAAGAAAAGTTCAGTCATGCAGATTTAATTAATTATCAATTATTATATATTAGTAATTTTTGCATTTTATGTTGGAACAAATAATATCTACAACCATGAGGAATATGGTGGCGGTCTCTTCGAAAGAGAGCTGCGACCAATTGTCACTATAACAAGCAAAGCAATCACTGAAGAAGGCGAGAAGTTGAAACGCGTCTGACAGACCAAAATGATCTATCTCTAGGCTATCTCAGATTTCAATATTTTATGGAGTAAAAATGTATGTTACTTCTTGGGGTTTTTCATATCTTTGGCTGGATAAATTCCATGAAATATTTAAAAAAAAAGAAAAAAAAAAGACGAAAATAAAATATTTTACTTTAATGGTAAATCTAAAATTTCAAGGCTGTCAGGGTGATGAAAATCTTCGACTTTTTTAAATTATTTAAAACAAAATTTAAATTTCTTACCAAATTCCACCCCCGAAAAAATAACACCTCTAGGACGTGATCATTTGGGAGATTCGCTAAGCCCGCAATTCACTCGAGTTAAGCCGGTGCGTATCGTACACAAAATACGAACTTACTTAAATTTTAATGATTAAGAGAAGTTTAAATTATTTATTGTGTTTTAAAGTTTTCAGTGTTAAGAATAGCAAAAAGCTCAATTAGAAAAGATACAATACAAAAAAGCACGAGGGTTTTTGCCATAACATCTAATAATTTAATAGAGAAGAGATTTAAAAAATAACACGAAACTCATTTGAATTCAGTTTTATGGTATGATTTAAATACCCCTGCTATATTTTATTTTATGAATTATGGGCATTTTTACAAATATAACTTGAAAAGTCAAGTTATCCAGTATTCACATAGAATAAATGAAAAATGAAAAACTGACAGCACGACGACAACTGTCATCTTTCTTTTCTTATTAAACATTAAATATAATAACAATTTTATTTAAATTTTTCCTCATTTATAGGTAAGAAAAGTGGTTCATTGTTTATTTTACTTGGATTTCGTAGAAAGATTTTCCTGGTATTTTTACACTAACATTTTCTCAATAATGAACCCTCAAATTTTTAGTTCTAATGTATATTTATAATAAGATATATTTTTTTCTGTTAAAAAAAAAATGTATTAATTTATATCGACGTACCTGCCCATGTTCCCATGGATTTGAAATCAGCAGTGAAATTAAGAAAAGGGGCCAGCGTGTGGTAAAGGAAGACTGATAGATGTTTTAACAATTTGAGAGCAATAACAATAAGAAAGAGAATGCCAACTTTCTCCAGGAATGTAAACATTTTGACTGGGTATCGACTGGAGCCGAGTCGGCTGTGGAAACGCGAATGCAACCCCGGTTCAAACGGATCGCCGGCCTCCCCGGAGTCCCCACTAGGCGGACAAATCGATCTTCTGCCTCCCCCCACGAACGAAGAACCCCTTTCTTTCAAATTGCCCTGCTCTGACCACTTTCACGGGCCAAGTTCAAGTTCCAAGTTTGAAGACGAACCGGCGGCGGAAGGCCGACTTCTTTAGCTGTCCGTCAATTTTATTGAATGAGATTTTCCACTTTTTCTCTTTCTCTTAACGGCAGAAACCTATTTTTAAAAAGATTTCGGCTTCAAGAATATAGAAGAAGAAATTTATATTTAGTTTATTAGTGTAGTTAATGGTAATTCGTTTTGCATGGACAGAATTTTCTTGTCGACGTCGAACCTATAATAAATTACATTTTTGTCAACACAAAATTATACAGTTTGTAAAGAAAGTGGTTTTATTATTATTATTATTATAAAGTCTTTATTTAAATTATACAACTCGACGTGTCCCACTCAATTGAGGGGTGCGGTTACTTGGCTCCATATAGAGAGCATGTAGTAATGCGACCCTATATGAGAATTATGCTCGAACACGACACCGAGGATCTGGGTCCCCTGTTTCAATTCTTGAAGAAAACGGTGTTGAGAGTGAATGTATTTATTAGTGTGAATGTATAGGGTGAGAGGGCTGATGGCAGAATATTGAGTATTCTATTCGGTTAGTAATATAATAGGTATAACAAGTGGTGGAGGAATATTGAGTACTCTACTACCCTAAGTAAATAGAAAGAATGTATTTAAGAATGATTGTGAGTGAAAATGGGGTTGGATCTAGGATCTGCATGCGTTGGGTGCTGAAATGACCTAGCTGTTGATACACCCTAGAGCCCAACCTCAGCTGCTGGACGTTTAAGACCGGGGTCTGACCCCAAATTGCCAACACCCGAGGTGGGTGATTCTCAAGTCCTGCCGGTAATTTATTGTAAATTACAAAACCTGGAATTGCCGGTAGACTACAAGAAGTAATAGGCTCAACTTTGTACATGTGTGAGCATATATGTGCATACATGTGCAGATTTGAGTTTATCCAAATCCAAAGCCAATATTACATAGAAATATACATAAATATATTTATGTATTTTAAAGGTACAAATAGGGCTTGTAGAGAAAGGTTGCTCGATGTGTCCCACTGAAGGGTGCAACTTCTTGGCTCTATATGAGAGTGTGTGATTTTTTGAGGAAACATGGTTGTTTTATTGTATATAGTAATGACAGTTTTATGTCCCTATTGTGTGTTGAGGGTGAATGTATTTATTGGTGTGAAAGGTCAATGGCACAATATTAAGTACCCCATCAACCTTAAATTAGGTTAGTTATGTAATATGTGTAGAGGCTGATGGAGGAATATCAAGTACTTCACCATCCAAATTGAATGAATGGTATGTAAATAGGAAAGAACGTATTTAAGAGTGAGAGTGTGAATGGATTTAGGAACTGCATGTGTTGGGTCATCACCCAGAGTTGGCTAAGTAGCTGGAAAGATTAAAATGAGGACTGCCCAGCCTGCCAACACCCGAGAGGGTTGATTCTTGAGGTCTGCCGGTAATTTATTGTAAATTACAAAATAATTAAATTTAAAAATAGTTTGTCGATTAATATCAATAAGTCTAGGTTCCATAGTTTATTCAAAGAATTAAAGTTAGATTTACCAGAGAGACATTACATAAATGACAAAAATTCATTGCATAAAGTACAGAAATTATGAAACTTAGGACGCAAATTATTCTCTCTCATTTATAATAACACCAGATCAGAAGATATGTTTACATGCCCCCTCTACAATAAGGAGCTACAGAAAATTTAGTCAATTTGTAGGATTATGTCCAATATTATAAGAATTCAGAATTAAATGGCTGGGTAACACATATCTTATTCTTGCTGAGGTAAACGACTGGTTGAATGGTTATGATTGTTGGGGTTATTTATATACATATGTATTGTGTGCATGGGATTATAGGGATTTCTTAATAGCAGAATTTCATTTTTATTTTAAAATATTATTTATATTATCCTTTATTTTTATTATTTTTATATTATTTAAAAAATGTGTTTTCTTTGTATGCTATAACTCTCATATAATCCAAAAGAGGAGTGCGAGTCCACTCAATAGATGAATAACATTAGTTTAAAGTCTTTTATAATATGTAGCTTCATTTATAGTATTGTTCTTATAATTTTTATTTATATTATTCTTATATTATTTTAAAAGAATTTTTTCTGTAGCAATTCTTGTGAAACGCTAAAGAGCAGTGTGAGTCAACTTGGCTGAAGGACTAAAGTCCAAGCATAAGTGTTAAAAATTTGTAAATATTATATTTGATGGAAAAAAATTAATAAAACATTATTATTATTATTATTATTTATAATTGAATTATTAAACCACATTAATAAAGAAAAGGAGGGAGAGAAAGGATAAAAGGAAATGGGAAAAAGAAAAGGAAGAGGGAAGAAAAGGAAATGATTCATGTCAGTTTTAAAAACTCAGATGCCATGGACCTGAAACAAGCAAGGGACAAGCTTTTTTTTTTGTTTTAGAGGAGTATAGAAGGCTTGGTGGATTCGTGCATTTGGATAAGCAATATGGGACAAAAGTTTATAGATAATGAGGACATTTATTTGATTTAATGTTAAATATGTAGTTATATTAAAGCTTTAATTTGATAAGTGCTTAGAATGTTAAGATTGCTGAGTATCTAATACAGGAATGATAAGCAATTTAAAGATGATGAGCAGACTGAGTGTCTAAGGAAAGTGAATAAATGGCCCTACAACAAGAGAATAAAGGAATTATTAGAGATTTAACAAGGAGAAATCTATATTTCTTTGGAGTGAAAAAGCTAACGTTTCACAGAAAATGGAGGCTTGAGTGGAACTTTTTAATAATAGAGCCCACATAGTCATGCCATGTAAGCTTGGAGTTAAAAATAACCCGAGATATTTAACTTTTGGACAAAAATTTATTGGGGAGCCATTGATTTGAGGAAGGAATAGACAATCTGTATTAATGAGTTTTTTGGAAATAAGGACTAAGATTTGTTAGGATTTAAAAGAATGCTGTTATTACTTGATCCTTGATTGAGAAAATGAAGCTCACAGTTGAGCAATGAGATAGCTTCAGGGATGTTGCTTGTAGAACATTGAATGTAAAGCTGAGTGCTAACAGCATATAGATGAAATTGTGAGAAATTAAGGACTGATGGAAGATCATATAGGAGAACATACATCTTTTTTTAAACAGTTTCCACTCGTCCTCTGGTGTAATGTCCATTTTTTTGTAGTTTTCCCAGCACCTGTGGTGCCACTGTCATTGTGGGGATCGAACATTACAGTCTGTGGCAGCCTCCACCATGGGCTCAGCCAGCACATCGCCTTCCGCATCTTTTGGAATGCTTGAAGCATTTTGTGTCACGAGGGCTGTGTTTCACTCTTCTGGCATTGCAGTCGCTTGATGGCAATGCCCTGTGGCACTGGGGACCTTCACTCCTGCCCCCTGCACTATAAGGTTAATCTCATTTTTGTTTTCCATTTTTTTTTTCTTTCCAGGGTGTGGATAAGAGAAAGGAGAGATGAGAAGGACAGATAAAAGGAAACAAAGTGAGTGATATGGGAAAAGGAGGTAACTAAGGAAAGGAGGTCACTCTTCCTCAATGGGGCAAAAGTGAGGAAGAAGTTCTTTTAGTCGGCTCTCATAACAGGCAGAGAAACAGTGGGCCTATTGTACTCCGGACCCACACAGGTATAAAAGAACTGTTAAACTGAGCGAAACTTTACTACTGTTTAATTATACTTTTTACCTTCTATCTGACATTAAACATGTAGTAGATAGTTTTACAAGAAAACAGTCTCAAGTTAAATCAATCCACTAAACTTAGTATAATAATACAATTTTCATTGTAGGTTGTTGAACAAATACTGCAGCATGGAATTTGTGCAACAACCTGCAATACAAATAATAAAATTATAAAATAAGTAGCAAAAAAATTAATTATTATTAAAAAAAAGATAATTTATTCTGAAAAAAAATTTAAAAAATGTTTTGAATACAGTTGAAATCAGCATATTCTGACTGGAAAGCTAAATGTTTTGTTTAATAATAAAAACATGAAATTTAATCATCGCCAATCATTTTGGTCTGCCAATCCTCACTCATTGGTCTACCAGATGTCTTCAGTGTGTCATAGCAAAATGCTAAAACGCACCTGACAGACAAACCGAGCAAGGATTGGCAACCAAAATGATTGCTAACTACTATATTTCTGGTTCACCAACCTGCACACAACATGGAGAAATCTCACAATCTAATCAAGTATTACTGTATTACCAAGTATTACCCGTTACTTTATAACAACTATTAATTTTAAAAAATACATCAAAAGTACTATGAGCTAACCTTGTGATGAGTGTAACAAGTTTACAAGAATGTTTCAACAGTCGTTTAAACGATGATTGAAGAAGAACAAAACATCAACAATTTGTAGCGCGTCCTTCAAGCTGAAATTCCACATAGTGCTAATCACATAAGTCAACAGATGTAATTAGGTATGTCATGTAAATAGGTTTCACACTCATTCAGCATTATTCTGTAGTATTTAATCTCTGTTAATTTTTAAAAAAAATTTTATATGCTTACCACTGAATTAAATATGAAATGGAGATTGGTCTTTAAAAATAAAAAAAATAAACAAAAATAAATAAATAAAAAATAAAATTGTCATAGAATTTGAAACGTTTATTTGACATCAAGGGGTACATTTAATTTCTGGCTTTATTTAATAACATTAAGAATAGAAACATGTAAGATTTGTGTTTTTATGTAGATAGTTCATATACAGAAAATTGTACCATTCTAACAGTCATCACAACCCTCTTTATATTCTTCTAATTTATAAAATGTTTCTATTTTCATATGATCACATTTCCAACTTATAAGTTCCTGAGATATTTCTGTATTTAATTGAGCATTGCTTTGAAAATATATTTTTAACGTAGAACAAAGAATCACATTAAAAGAAATTAATAAATTCCACTCACGTAAATTCTCTCTAATTGCTCAATGAAATACGAGCAACTTTTCAGAGCGAAATTGTGTTCATTATATGCTGTTAATGTTAAAACTTACACAGTTATGTTAAATACTTCAACAAGATTCAACTTAGAATTACAAAAAAATATATCTTTGTGTTAATCCTTACATCATTAAAATATAAAACATTTGATATTCGCACATTTAAAAATATATTAAGACTAAATATAAACACAATAGTTTATAAAATACATTGCGTCGTTGCTAATATTTTCGTTTTTTAAACCTTTCCTTTCAAGATAACAAATACCACCCCAATTGACAATTATTGTTAGTTCAACTAAAAATTAAACATTTCTTTACCACATTTATTACCAGAGAGTAAATATACGTTATTTTTAAATATGGAATTATTATTATATTTGTACTAACAGTGCAATATTTGGTAAGTTAATTCTATAAATATTTGTAATTCATAACTGGAAATTATAGATTACAATGTGGATATAATTGGAGCACAATTACTTTGGTATGTGGAAACTAATTATTTTCGTAATTAAAGCTAACTTTTTTCAATAACATTTTAGAATTCAGTATTTATTTTAAATACATTATCTGTTCCATCGCTGAAAGACATTAGTTACTGTTAAAATTATTACATACATTTTTGTTCTTAAATTATAAGGTATTGATATAGATTATTATCATAAAACTACATAGTTTAAATATTGGCAAAACAATTTTAAATAAAACATTACGCTTTAATCAATGAATCTGTGTTTATAAAAATAAATTTATAAGATTTCAGAAAATATTTTAATTACCATTTAGACGAAGCTAACTGACAATTTATAGTTTGATAGTTAACTTTAGTCTGTCTATCTTAGCTACCAGACACAAAATCAGTGAGGATAGGCAGACACAAGAGGAAATCTCACAATTTAACCAACAATCGGTACTATTAAATGTAAAACAATGTGTATCAGTATACTATTTTCACATTTAATACAAATCACTTTATTCACACAAACCCACATTTCACTCCAACTTAACTTCAAATAAACACTGGACTTATTAGTTAATTATTTCATACTGATGCTATAAAATACTTTAAAATACTTATAAACTAAAACATGCTTTATATTGTTAATATCCCATATAATTCATTTGTAATAATTAAACATTTAAATAAAAAAGTAATAGGTACTAATAAACATTTAGAAGTAATATAACTACAGTCATGGAAAACCAGGAAGACCCTAACTCTTGACCTGATATCTGGCCCACCGACAGTAAAAGACCGACAGGGTCGATGGGTAAGCAAATGAGCTCTTGTGTATCAGGAAAATGTATGAAAATTCAACATAGAATTTTCATAGAATTTAGAGAAAAAGTTGAGAAAGTTTGCCTGATATACCAAAAATTTGTCATGCATAGAGAGCAAGTGGGCTGATTTTTTTATTCTTCATTTTTCTATTTTTTATTTTTTTTTTATTTAAGAAAATGAAAGTCTTGTTGTTTTCAATGTCTTGGGATCAATTTTTGTGTGTTTTATTCACGAGTATGAACGCATGCGAAAGGTTCAACAGTGGAATTTGACCCCCATTCACCGATTTTTAGATTGGTTATATTTTGTATATGGAGGAATGGACAAAAATGGAGGAATATAAAGTCTCCATCACCATATTAAAGTGAACATACAAGAGAATAAGTGTTGTTTTATAACTTTGCGTGGCAGAAATGGCTTAGTTATTAGCAGCCCTAACTTTGGAGGATAGGACAGAAAACGCAGAACTACCCCTGTATCCTGACCAAAATAGACAATGCTCATAACTCACCACACATTAATTATAACACCATTCATTTTTTTAACATTTAATGTGACTGGCCAGAAAATTCTGTAAAGATTAAAACACCATTTTAAATAAAACTTTACACTAATAATTGAACGATTCAAAATTAGATGTAATATATATTTTGCAAAACAAAGAAGACATTCCTCCAAGAATTTCCTCATTTTTTTTCAAATTTTTGATGGTAACACCATGGAATTTTTATTTCAAAAAACAATGCCTAGAACATACAAATTCCATAGATGAATTGACAATGTCATTTGAAAAAGATGAAATACTTAAATGATGAACTTTTTATGAAAATTGTATGACCAGTTCAACTGATACGTTGAAGATCAATTCTTCTCAAATACAACTTTCTATTAATGTGAGAAATAATAGTCACAAGTTCAACATTAAAATGACACATTCAATTTGTTATTTCCATTTTTAGTATTATAACTTTTACAATTCTACGGAAACTGGAAAACTCAGGTGATTGGATTTTGCCAATGTGTTTTTGTACTGTTTTAATGCAGAATTGAATTCCTCCATCCATTGACAAGCTACATATGGTGGAATTTTACCCCAGTTGAACTGGTGAGCTTTCACTCTAAAAATAAAAATTAAACAACACTTCCATTTTACGTTGTAATGCAGTACCAGAAAACTGTACAGTATATATTAGAAAACTTACCCAGTTAAATCCTGAATAAGTTGTTGTAAGTGATCTGGCATACCATACCTCGTGCATGGTACGATATTTAAAAATTCATCATTGTTGTTGTGTAAATAAAACCTGGAAAAATTAAAATTTTGGAAATGCATGAAAAATACATGAAAACATTTTAAAAGTGTACTTATTTGTTTGATAGACAAAATCAGAAAAACAAAGATAAATCAGAATAATTGGAGATGGTGACACTTCCTTTTCACCTGGTAGACCTAACCTCAGTGTTTTACAATTTATTCAATATCAAATCAAAGTCAAAGTTAAATTTATACCATCTCAATATTTATATTGAACAAACAGACAACAACACATTCTTTAGCTTATTTTAGTTTCTCCTTTCTGTTGCTTCCTGGACACCAGACAGGCGACTCTGTTTGACTCACCACAATGTCTGTGCCCTTTCTGGCTCTGCCTGACTGAATCTTACTTACTTAACAATCAACTTATCCTGCATCAGGCCACTTCTCAACAGTCATGTTTCAACCAGGTGACTAAACTCAGCCTTCTTCTGACTAACTCTAACCAACTATGGGCCCAACTGGCCTTTTTTGCTTTTCCAATCATCCCCTTTTATATTGGTTTGAGGGTTGAGAGAAGGAAAAGCAAAATCCATTGGTCATGACTTAGCTGTCTAGGGAGCTTAAATTGTGCTTTGTATGGCTCTGCAGTGAAAGGTGTACAAAACCCATCTAGCTGATGCGATCCCAAATTTCAGGTCGATGCGCCCCATCCGTGAGGTGCGACACTTACACTAAATAAATAACCCTTCATCTTTTTTGTTACTTATTGGGACTATTTGCTTGTTGCATTTTTCCACCCTCTGGATTTTTGAGAAACGTTCCTTTGTTCCCTGCTGAGTTGGTGAGCCATCAATTTTACAGACCCATAAAAAATCTGTCCAAAATTCTTTACAACTATTTCCTTGTGTACAGCTATTCCTTACTTATTTATTCTAACTTATATGAAGATGGTCCAGGTTACAATTGCAACTAGCAAATTCCTGTAGTTTGGCTGTTTTCAATCATTTTGTTCTGCCTAGCCTTCTTAATCAGAGGAATAGGGTTTGATGAATCCACAGTCGAACATGACAAACTGCCAAAACGTACTTCTCCAAAACAGCAAGAATAGGCAGATAAAAATGATCGGAAATGACTAACCTACAGGTTCAGCACACTGCAGACCACAAAAAGAAATCTTACCAATTGATCTTTATGACTAAATAATAATAAAAAAGTCTAATGACAAAAGAATGTCCACTATTAATATAACCTATATGTTATTAGTAATTTCAACCATAATAATTTGTAACTGTTCACAAAACAGATCATTACAAAAACAATACATGTTAATTCTACTTTAGTTTGCATTTAAGAGTTGTCTGATTTTAACCCTTACCGAACTATAAAAAGTCTTTTATAGTTGTGAATGAGAGTCGGGTTGTGGCGAAGAGCTGAGATTGCATACGTAAACACACCATCTAGATGATGCTCTTTTCTCGACACATCTTGCCAATGTTGTGAATGACCATTATTAACAATAACCACCTTAACATAATTTGACGCAAGAATTTGGTCAACCCAAACAGGATAATTCTGAGTGACTTCTTCACACTGATTGCGTGCCAAAGGATCCCATACCTAAAAAAATTGAATAAGGTTCATTATTTTATTTTTATTTTTTAATTTATGGATAATACCGACAATGGAATCATCACTCAATATCCCATTGGCCCACTTTTTTACTCCAGTTATTCATTCATACAAAGGCACAACCATATTGATAAAAACTGTACAACAAAAGTATAAACAGTAAATAAAAGTCCCTGTTAAAAATCAGTACAGGGGGGCCCCCAGCATCCTAAGGACTACTTTATATCAGGTGCCATGCCCACACGTTACCTGTAAGGGATGGTTAGGGACAAGTCCTGGCACTACTCAGCCAAGTGTGACACATGGAGCGGGGTTCACTACAAAAGCAAGTGTCTGTATGTCAATCGTGTATGGCCTAGCTTCTATAATGAAATGCTACAGTTAAAAAATAAGGTTAAATACCTAGGGATAATCTTTGATAGGAAATTAACCTGGAACCCTCACCTGCAGCACATCATAACAAAAAGTAAAATATCGTTAATGAACCAAAAAGAACTCTAGGCAAATCTTGAGGACTAAAATCGAAAATGGCCTATTGGCTATATACAGCAGTAATACAATTAAATTATTTTATGGCTTACTTATCTGGTGGAGCAAAGTTCAGCAAAAACAAGCTATCTAAACATTAGACAACATACAAAAACTGGTAAACCTATGCAACACAGGGGCAGAAGTAGAAGGCCTATGCTTCTATAATGAAATTCTGCAGTTAAAAAACGAAGTTAAATACCTAGGGATAATCTCTGAGGAGAAATTATCCTACAATCCTAACCTGCGGCACATCATAACAAAAAGCAAAGTATCACTACCACAAGAAGAACTGGGCAAATCTTGGGACTAAAACAGAAAATGACCCATTGGCTCTATACGCAGTAATAAGACCAAATTGTCCTATGGCTCACTAATATGGTAAACCAAAGATCAACAAAAACAAGTGCCCAGACATTCGGCAGCAACGAGTAGCAAACCCTACGACAGGAGCAATGAAAATAACCCATCAATTGCACTAGAAACATTGCTAAACCATTGGAAATATCTGCACCAGGAGAAGTGAGGAAAAGCTCAAAGGCTCCAGAAGCAATCAAACTGGATTAAATAGTTAATCCCTAGTGAGACGTTTTATCAGAAACCCATTCTTAGAAATGGGGACTGACTACTTGATCCCAGAAATATTCTTTAGAACTATAAAAGATGAAATCAGGAGGTACCAGATTGATATGGCATTCAGACGGCTCCAAAACAAGTGAAGGAGCTAGATCAGCTATTTTCTGAACAAGCCCAAAATAAAGAATCAAACTCACTAGGGAAGTACACCTCAGTCTTTCAAGCTAAATACATGCCATCAATACTTTAGAAAATCTTAAAAGAGGATACACTGGCAAAACAATCCTCATAAGATCGAAGAGCCAAGCAGCTATTAAAGAGTTAGCATGTAAAAAAATTACATCAAAATAGTCAATTAGTAATTGAATGCATCCAAAATATCCAAAACTGGTAAACAACCACCTGATGATATTTTGGGTACCAGGGCCTAAGGGAATTGTGAGTAACGAAAAAACGACATACTGCCCTGAGGAGGATCTGCAAGATCATATATAAGCCCTGAACCTATTCTTGGGACAACAAAAACAAACATAGAATCCTTCATCACTGAATGGATCCAGAAAAGACAAACGTGGATCTAGGAGTGCTAGTCACAGTAAGCTTATATTAAAACAACCCTCACAAAAACTGGCAAACTCACTGCAAGTTAGAGAGAGCTAAACTTAGAGGAGTCTAATATAATTGGTTCTATATACCAGTCATTGGTATCTGAGAAAACATCTACATAACATGGGCATATTCAATAATGACCCCATTTGTAGGTTATGCTAGAGGAAAAACTGCGGCCCATATCTCCGAATATGAAGCAACCACTCAGTGAAGACATAACCTGGGATGCAAAATAAACCCAGGGAATGGAATTGCAGCAACAACAATCAATGACCTACTGCTTAGGAGAAGGATCGAGTTGATTGCACAGAACTAGGAAAGTAAAATAAGCTAGAGGAATACAGAAACCCCAATTACTAGTACCCATATTCATCATATCATGGTCTATCATCAAACAGGTGAGCTCGATCCCTTCCTTTTATTTAGGACACCCCGGCCCACTAACTGCCACTGACAAAGTTCTTTTATTGCATTCTTTACTACTCATACAATATCAACAGGCCGTAGTTTGGTCTGGAGGACGAGATGCCCAAACTTTTGCCTTCCAGCACAACAATTCCGAGTAACCAAACGACTACCACTGTTTTTTCACGGCTCTCCAGCTCAGCATATCTCTTTAGCAAGAGCATGAGAGGGGTCCACCGGAATCTGTTACAGACAGCAATAATCACACTGAGGGAGTCCGGTCAGACAAAATAGACACAGCCTCATAATAATAAATATAGATTATAAATAAATGATAACAAGAAAAAATATTTTTTACTCTACGTTTCACAGATTTTGTTTAGTTTATTAATGATAATAATAAGCTAATACCTTTTGAAAAAACAAAGACATTAAATTTCTAAATTTATCCATTAGAAGCAGAAATTCATCACTTTCCCTCTGGTACAGAAGGAGAACTTCAGTGTGTTGATCAATATAAGTTGTGCTCAATGGAGATCGAACATCATCATGTACGCTATTCAATAAATTACTGTCTGTTATTTCATCAGCACTTATTTTGTAGTATGGACAATATTTATTCTTTCCTGAAATAAAATAAAGCAACATAAACACAAATGCACATGTAATAAATAAATTGAGACATTTTACCTTTTAATAATGTGATCAATACAATCGTAAAGCAAATGATAATGGTAATCCGTATAATTCCAAAGAACATATCTTTTGATATTATATCTGTCAATAATACTGGCACAAATGCTGCACTGGCGAGTTTAGCGGCTAAAATTTTTTTTATAATGTCAATGTTTCACATGGAGCTTAACAAATTAATGAAAATTATGTACTTACTTTCGCTTATAATAATTGGTTCAGTTGATATCGCACAACAACGATGCTCTGGGAAAAGCTAACAAAAATATTTACAATCAAAACACAAACAACTACTAAAAAAATTAGGCATAGGTTTAATTAAACATCACATACCCTGGCACAGTAGTATCCAGGTTTGGATGCATTGATCAATTTTGGCTGAGACTGTAAATTAATATTTCATCTTACACATTATGTGGAATTATAAAAAAATAAAATAAAATAAAATATAACAGAAAGGCTTACATGATTCCAAGTGAAATTTTGCACATCTATGCTTCCATTACTGCAACTGCTTGAACCTATAACGCAGTTAATACTACACATTGACGTTAATAATTCAATGCTTAACAGTCCCTTAATATCCTTGTTCAAGAGTCTTAACTCAATCGTTCTGCAAGTAAAGAAATATGATAATATATTAAGATGTAATTTATTAACTATTAATCATAAAAATTAGGCAGGGTGAACAATTAAAGTGAAATATGTTTCTTCTAAATTTCATATATTTTTAGGATTGGGTCATAGAGCCACCTGAAAATTTCACAAAAATATGGAATGAATTAATTTTTTCCAAAAACCAAAATTTAAGTATTTTGGGGATTTAATGACACTGAAGCCTGATGTCCTAATGTAAAAAAAGTACCCTAACATTGATGGACAGTAAAAAAGCATGTCTAAAATGTTGTTTATATTATTAACTTCTTGCCTAAATAAAACTATGTTTTTTATTATTATTATTTTCCAAAATATACTTATGTCACACTTACGCTGTTTCCCCATAGGTAGGAATGAAAGACAAATTTGACTTGTTGTGGAAACTGTTGCATTCCCAATCACTAGTGTTTTGCTTGCAAGGCATTTTAACTAAGAAAAACAAAAATGAAACAAATCAAACTCAAGCATAGAAAATCTTATTCCATATGGTTCAATAAAAACTGCACTTGAACAAGCGCCATTCAAAGAATTCGATTGAAATCCTCACCTTTGATACTCGTTGGTAGCAAGTCATTATCCATGTCATTATATCTATTGGCTGGGATTGGTTTTTCATACTGATTCCACATTTCTTCATCTCTGTGAAATAAGTCTAAACACATGTAATCAAAATTAATCACCTTTCATATTTCATCAACAAATTGTGTTTAGGTTTCTATGTTTTTAGGCCAGTGTTGTAGAAATTATTTATGTTCATCAAGGTACATTTTGATATTCAAGGAGTATAAGATTAGATTAGAGTAAGATCGGTTTCTTTGCACCCTGTGTACTACGACCAGTATTGGTCTATTGTGAATCTCCATTGTTGTCTAGAGCTCCACATTAAGCTTAGGCTTTTTACCAGATTCCAGTTTTTTCAAGGACTCCCTTTCCTTGAAAAAAAAAAAAACCTAGGCTTTTCTTCTCCCAGGAGTATCTCAGCCTACATAAGCTTTGCAACAGAAGACGTGTTCTGCTGTCTCTTCTTCCTGGTATTATCTGCACAGGCTTCCTGCCACACTGAGTCTATATGCCCTGGACTCTACAGTATCCAGTTATTCTAATCCTAAAACGTCCTAGCACAGGGATCAGTGTCCTCATTGAACTTTCCTTGGCCATTTTATCGCCTTCTTTGTTCCCCTCTGCCGTGTGCCTTGGTACCCAAGCAAGAGTGATTTTGTTGTTTTCCCCAATGTCTGGCAGAGCCCTGATGCAATCCCAAACATATCTGCACTTAACCACCGATGTGGTAATTGCTCTCAATGCCAGCTGGCTGTCTGAGTATACGTTCAATCGCCTTGAAAGGCAGTGGAAAATTACCCAAATCTTATATTAATTCTAGTCCTTGGTTTATTTCCATAAATATTAGCTCCTTCCCCATACTCGGTGCATAGGCAAGATTTTGGGCTGGAACAACTTGATTGTTTGGAAATTGGAACATTTGGTTGGACCCCCCCCCCCATAAATAAGGCATTTGTATTGTACTGAGAGTTTCATTCTGTTGTCAAGTAGTATTTTGAATATTTTATACCATCTGTTCAATTTTCTTTTGAGTCGAGTCTGGGGATTCCAAGGAAGTAATTTGACGATGAAAAGTCCCAAATAACGGATGACATTGCTGTGGTTACAGAGCAAATTTACAGCAAATTACAGAGCAATTTGGTCATACAAAATACCAAAATCCATTTATACTTTAGAGAAATGACAGATTAAAAAAAATAAATATATTCTAACAATTATGGTTTAAAGCTAAATTAAAAATATATCTAAAAACATATTTTAAAAAAATCACCTCTGTAGTTTGAGCCAAAAAAAGTTTTGTTCCCTAGCCTTTGAATTATTTCAATATCATCAGTGTTATTCACATCCTGTTGAAATGGGACAAAAGCAATAATAACATTGACCACAGGTTTTTGACAATATTTGTGCGGAATGTTCAAAGGCTGAATTTCCCAGAGCGTAACATGTTGTGAAACTTTTGTCGATAGTAGTTCCATCTCCCGAGACCAGTTTTGAATTACGTCAAAATTTTCTGAAATAAGTATTATTAGGGAAAAAATCACTTTAACTACAAAATCGCCACTATTAATTTATTTTACCTAATACTGAGTTATTGAATGAAACTGAAATATTAAAATAAGGAAACTTTTGCATTCCACTTTTGAATTTTATCTTTTGGTGCTGAATGCGCTTGTATGGTGCCATTTCTGAAACTGAAAACAAATGATTTTATTTCAATAGAAATAATTAATTAAACAAAACACAATGACAAATTATATAGATGTGAAAACTAAATCACCTGAAATTTTTCTTTGTTGAATAAAAGAGCATGGGTGTTCTGGTTGTTCACAGCCTCCTTTGTGCTAAAATTTAAACAGAAGAAATTTAAATAAGGTTTATTTAGCCATTTTTAAGGTTAAACACTCCACACAGATACACATAATTGAAATTTTTTGTTGTTTCAATTGTTCAACAATGAATCAATCCCACCTCCTCATTAAACTTTTTTTGGTGTCAGTAGTTCCATCAGCCATTTTTTAAACACAACTTATTCAGAATGTTTTAAAATGTCATCAGGAGCTCTGATAGCATGATTGTTATTTGTTACATGAGGGAGCATCTGTGATGCTGGTGATGCTACAATGTTACAGCTCACTTTTTCCACTACACCAAGAAGTCGCATGTGTAATTCCTTTTGTCTTCTAGAATTTTTTGGAAAAGTGGGGCTATTGCATGCAAGTTTGGAAAAAAAGGATTACTAATGGTAGAAAGGGTGGAGTGGAATTTAAGTTATCTAGTTCTTGTTTTCACGTATGAAAGATGTTGCAAGATTGGATATTGTCGGCTCCGTGCAAAAGTATCTCATATAAAGTAGTTTGTTAAGGCTTTTTACCAAATCGCAATGCTTTTACAAAGACTCCCTATCCTTCAGGCCCGGGCTTTTCCTCACCCAGGAGTATGAATCTCAGCCTGCATAAGCCTTCGCACCAATAGAGGAATGTTCTGCTGCCTCTTCTACTGGCAATATAGGCTTGTTTTTGCATATGGCATTGATGTCTGCAGTGTTCAGAGTCCAGCTATTATTCTAGTCCTAGCACGTCTTAGATTTAGAAGTTGTGCCGTTTTTCGGCGATGATCTTTGATGAACTTTTTCACAGCCTTTGTTTTTTCCTTCACAGCTTTTTTTCCTAGGCTACATTCCCATTGAACGGAGAACTTATTTTTAATCCTGTCTGATGAACTCATGTTTTTGTATACCACAAAAGTTTAGAATGGAACTTTCATTGGCCAATTTATCAGTCGTTTTGTTGCGCCTCTAGCCTTGTGTGAAATTGATGTCTGAAATTTACGACTGTTCTGTACAGGACATTTTTTATTGCATATTATTATATAAGTTATTTCATTCCTTAACTGATTGCCCATTACTTAACTTTATGTTCCATCTTATCATTCCAGAAGTCATATAACATTCACCATTGATTGCCATAGAAATAATTATGCCAAATTCAGTTTTATACCAGGAACAACAAATATGTTTAACTTGTTCAAAAATACAGGTAGATTTAATGTTAGTTTAAGTAAATTTAAGCAAATTTTATTATTAGAAAATTAAATATTGTATCATTAATATTGATTTTGATTATAATTAATAATTGATAATTACTTAGTTTTAATACATTTTTCAAATTGTTTCAATTCATTTTAAAGTGTTGTTTTATTTTATTTATTTTACTATAAACATTTTTCTTTTTATGTTAGTTATAACCACTATACTTTTATTGTATACATTTGTAATTGGGAAACCAGGAAATAAAATAAAAATAAATAAAATGTGTGCTATGGTACCCAGACAAAAGTAATTTTGTTGTTTTCGACTCTGTACTTTACTACCACTGCAGTAATTGCCTTCAGCACTGCCTGGCTGTCCAAGTAGATGTCTATTCTTCTGTTAACCTAGCCTTATGACAGTCGCCGCTTGAAAAAGTGGCATATTGCCCAAGGCTTGTATGAATTCTAGTCCTTAGTTTATTTCTGTAAATACCAGCTCCTGACCCACATCCAGTTTTAGAGCTATCTGTATATCGGATATGGTCAACATTAACTAGGATCCCTTTCTCCCAGTCTGCCCAACGAGGTATTTTATTTTGTAAAATCTGAATTTAGGGGTCATGAGTACTCCAGTACCCTGTCTGCCTGATCTTTAGTTGCTCCTTGTTATGCAAGTTACTGGAGCCTGTCCCTGCATTAGCCTAAGAATTGTGGCTCTGCCCTCTCTCGCTGGATGTAGTGTACGTAGTGGTGGTAGATTCAGAAGGACCTTCAGAGTACCAGTGGTGGTCATTTTCTTGCCGCAGTGATACTCAGACACACTAACTTCTGAGCACTACTGAGGATCTTGACTGCCCTTAGCTGTATTGTCTTCGTCCACCAAACTACTGATTAGACACCGTATTAAAAAGTTTCTTTCTTTAGCTAATACCCATTTTGAACTAATTCATCAACCATTAAGGAACCTGTGCTACTTTATTATTAGGAAAAATAAGTATAAAAATTATCTAAATGTTTGTACTGATTTGTACAAGATAATGCTTATTTACCCTTTATTCAAAGTATTTGTACTCACTCAAAGAGTGTGTTTTTTATGTAGATGTGTCACTGTTGTGTGTCGTGTTGAGAATGTTAGTGAGATAACACATCAGGGACACATCTACACAGAAAATACACACTTTGAGTGAGTACAAATACTTTGATTAAGCCTAAAATTTCTTTATTGTATACATTGTATAAATTCATATTCATATCTTATATGTGTTTGTATGTTAAAACAATGTTTATAAATCCCAGTCTCTGAAGATGAGCTCAATAAAGATCGAAACGTTGGCACGATAAAGAAAATGTTTTTCTGAAACCTACATCACACCAGACCGCATCTCACGATTTCTGAATAATCATCGACAAACGGTCACTAATCACCACACACGTCTTGTGTAATGTTAGTTAAGTGTTGATGCTCAAGACGGATTTCTGTCATAGAAGTCTTGGTAGTGGTCCAAGTCTTTTGATAAGTTGTTGTCTCATAAGTCTCGTGTGGGTATTCAACATCAGTCTGCCGTTTAGTTATAGTCCTAGGAATTTGACTTGCGTGGATCGGTATCTTTTCTGTTGATGTACAGTTGTACTCCACTTTTCGCACCTGTCTTCCATATGCTCAAGGTGTTCTTGGATGATGGAGGTAACTTGGATAGGATTCGGGGACAAAATAGCCATATTTTCTGCTTAAGTGGTCATAATAGTATTAGGGTGTACAGGTAAGGATTTTACAGGGATTTTCTAATTGAAAATAAAGTTATAGCAATGATAAATTAAAAATAGATTTGTCATCCTTAATTGTTTTTAACATTAACAAACGAGTGTGTAAAGAAAATGTTTTTCTAAACCTATATCACCCTAAGCCACATCTCACAATCTCTAAATAAACATCATAATATTTCAGAGATCATATAATCCTCCCTTGATTCTTTGTCTTCTCTATGACAGTATCGGGGAAAAGCTGGAAATTTTCCCTGATTTCTGTTTTGCAGATATATAAAGATGCTTGATACTTTAAACTACTTTCAGCCTCACACTTAACAACTTTGTAGAAAAGGAAGTTTTAAAAAAGCCGGAATATAACAATGATGCTATGAGATGGAGCCTTTGCACTTTGCTTTTGATACAGGAAAAATTCGCATAAATTTACTACCTCACCTCACCCTGTTTATACCCCTGATGTCGCATCATCTGCCTTTGTTTTTTCCCCAATTTATTTTTAAAGGGTGGCACATTGAAAAAAAAGATGTGAAATTACAATCAAAACCAATGTTCTGTTAGATCAATGCAAATATTTTGTTTAACCTCACTAATTTCGTGGTCCGCTTGACCAATTAATATATTACAATTAATTAAGGTTTTTAGTTGAGATAAAAAAGGCAATGGCACGAGCGGGATTCGAACCCACGATCTTCGGCTAGATACGCCACTGCTCTACCACTTGAGCTATTGTGACCTCGATCTACTCGGACACCAACTTCCTATCTCAACCCCACCTTTTTGAGTTTTCCCTCCTTTTTGCCATTTTGTTTAACAATTTTTATATGAAAATGTTTTAGTCATGAGGGCTTTTGTAATACCCTTATAAAAACACCAAATATGAAATTCATTTGAAACCCTAATATTTATGTTTGTACAAATTATTATTATTTATGTATGTATATCAATTTTTTTACGAGGGTGTGGTTGCAACCTGCAGTTACCACGGTACCCTCTAGGTGTCACTACCAGTTCTGGAATGGTCTCTCCCTCCACTCTTCATTTCGTATATAAGCAAATGCACTGCCCCCAGTGACTTCAGAGTCAGACTCATCTACCCGACGAGACCTCACTTCACACCTCGAGACTCGTCTAACCAACGAGCTCTCGCCAATCACTATTGGAGCACCGACAACAACGGCAAGGGTACTCCCAGCATTAGCCTCGATCTCGCGTTCTCAACACAGCCGACCTGTTGCACCAGAGTCCCTCAACCGCTGCAGAGTCAACCGACTCATGGCCCCAGACCTAAGCCCCTACCACCACCAACGGCGCTCATACAAACGGTCCCGGCCTTATCGTCTCAACATTACAAAACAACACCGGCCCTTCTCAGAGTTACCGAAAAACTCCCAGCCACTAAAAGGGTATTTCAACTACGAGGTTATTTGAACGCTCGGGGTGCCGGTGTTTTAGAAAAAAAGAAGACCCATTTGTATGTATGTAAGTTCGAATATAGGACCGCTATATTCGAACCCGGAATCCTTACCTTACAGTGATGAACGCCGGGTCAAAGCCTAAACCATTGTGGCCACCGACGCCCCCATTTATTCCATAATAACCCACAGATAAACGACTGAAATTTGAAGTTGACAAAACCAGCACTATCGGCAGACCAGACATTTAGTAAAAAGACAAACTTCAGGTCTCGTGCATAACTCAGCAGGCTTCAAGGAGAAATCTGATTTCTATAAGCGCAAATCTGCCCATGCATATACAGAGTTGAGCCTATCACTTCTCGGAACTCGCAGGCAATTCCAGCTTTTAGTAATTTATGACAGATTGCCAGCAGTCCTGAAGAATCACCCACCTAGGGGGTTGGCAGTCCGGGGTCAGACAGTCTTATGCGTCCAGCCACTGAGGTTAGACTCCGGGTGCTGTCAACAACTAGGTCATTTCAGCACGCTTGCTGTTCCTAGATCGCACTGTAGACAGAGCTCTAATAGAGGATGGGACACTCAATATTCCACCATCGGCCTTCTCACACTGCACATTCACTACAATAAATACATTCACTGTCAACACTCACTAGGGAACACAAAACAATATGATATCAGTATCATATATAAATAAAACAAAGCTGTTTTCATCCAAAAATTGGAACAGAGGACCATTTGAACTTACAATATATAAATCCAAATCCACATCAAAAGTTGCAATAAATCACAAATTGTGAATGGACTGAAGTCAAAAGGTTTTATCTGACTATAAGCATATAAGCACAGCTTTTGATGAATAATTCTATTACATTCCACCCACCGTCAAACAGAAACAAATATTAACAATTGAGATGGATAAACTAGAAAAGAAAAAGGTATTCTGCAGACAGAAAATGGTGGTCGATGTTTCATCCACAGAGGAGACGGTCGATCTTGACTCGTAGTACGCATAAAATGTTATCTTAGAAACAAGGGAGCTTTTACATAACAAAGGAAGTTAATGAGTTTAGCTTATAACGGAGAAAGAAAATGAAATTACAAATAAAAATAGGATTTTAAAAAGGACAAAAATTGTTATCTCTTCATCTTGATTAAAAACAACACTTGCATAACAATTCCATAAAATACTCCACCATTTTTTTGGAGTTCTTCGTGCTTATTAAGCAACAAGCACTCAAGAATTCGATAACAACCCTCTTCGCAATAATTAGGAACAAAGATCAAAGAAAAACTGTAGAATCTTGCCCTTTTTTTTTTTTTTTTTTTTTTTTCAAAGGATAATTAATGATCTAGATATCAAAATAATAACAAAAGAATCTAGAACACATGGCATAGTGGAATACTGTTGTGAAGAACATGTAAAATTTCTCCATTGGTTAAAAATGGTGAAACAAATCATTTTGTAAAGAACCGAATGATTTTGGCCGAAACTGCTTACTCTGTGGTTCTTGTGTTCTTTACCTCTGATTGTCATAAAAAATGCAGACTGCACTCAGAGGACACGTATTATGAGATGCCATCCAATGCTGGTACTCTGTTTGTTATCGGGTTTAGGAGGTCTCGGGGTCATCTTCTTGAGCAGTAGGGTTAGGATAGGTGAAAGATCGAAAGATTGAAGTGAAACTTGAGGAAGCGGGAACGGATACTAATGAATGGGAATGGTAAGGTCATTGTGGATAGGTTGAAGTAAGTAGTTTGGAGAATTCTTCTGGAGATTTTCGTTTGGAATGCTTGGATTCATTGGATGTTAGATGCGTCGTAATTCGTTTGAGTCTTGTGTGATTCCACATCAGTCTGTTAGCCTTAAAAATTTTACTTGTGTAGATGTCGAAATTCTTTACTGTTAACGCATAGACTTGGGCAAGGCTGTTTGTTTTGCGTGAATTTGGGTGCATTTGCCCTCGTTCAGTTTCATCTTCCACGGTTTGCACAATTCTGCAATGAGCTCAAGATGATCCTGGATATTGGAGGTGACTTGTAGGATTGTTATTAGGTGATAAAATTGCAGTATAACCAGCGTAGGTTGCAAGAATGGTGTTGGGATGTCTCTGCAGGTAAGTAGCAGAAATGGCATATAGGATGGGATCAAGGATGCTCCCTTGTGGAACGCCGGCCTGAATCGGTCTGACTTCTGAAAACTCGTTGCCGCATCTCACACCGAAGCAGCGGTCGGTTAGATAGGATTTTACGAATTGGTAATAACCAGTGAAAAAGAATTCACGTGTGCCAGATCCTGTCAAAAGCTTTGGGCATGTCTAACAATGCAGCCGAGCAAATTTAATTAAGCTGTGGAACTAACCTGGACGACACACTGAGGTAAGAAAGACGCTGAATCTTTAATTGCAGACGCAAGTGACGCCAGGACGAAGAAGATGAAAGTTATCAACATTTCTCTGAAACAAAACAAAAGATTAAGTTTTTTAATTTTTACATGATTAAGAATTGTGATTTATATCGTCAAATCCATTGTAGGTTAGAAATCTTATTTGTTACAGTCCAGGATTAAGGCAATCTTAATTTTGTACAGATTAAGACGTCCAAACGCTTAGAATTTGTAGACGGTAATAATAACCGGGTCCCTCCCTTTTTATAAAGGGCTGATTAAGGGTTTATTCTGGTCCCACAGGAGAAAAGTTGAGAACTTTGAGCTTTATATCTTTATCTGTTTACTTGGGTAATTTAAGAAGTACAATTAGCCAGGAGTGTGGGATGGGATTTTCTATGAAAATTAATCAGATGATTCGTCGATGTATTGTTAACTTAAAACTCCCGAACCCCACCCCGAATGCCGCAATAAAGTTCGGAAATGTTATGACCTTTTATGAGCCGAGCTGGTGGAAATCGAATTACAAAAATATCAACCGGTGTCGTAAATCCAGTGATATTTAAATTCTTGAAAATGAATAGCATAAAATTCCTATTTCATACATACTACCTTTTCATGCTCTGCTATAAAGTCTTTTCCTGAGATTATAATTTTTTCATTATATTTTTATTTAACCGCTTAAAAAACGGCTTAACTCATTGAAATTGCGGACGATTTCTGGCCCCATAGGAGAAAAGTTGAGAACTTTGAGCTTTATAGACTAAGCCCGGTAAGCCATACGCTTCTACCCACTAGAAATCCTCTTTTGACCTCACACTCTCTATAAATATGTGACCTTAAAAAATATGTAAATGGAATGTAAGAAAAATAAAAAAGCTACGTTCTGAACATATTTAATGAAGACAGAAGTACGGAAGGCAATGGACCTATAGGTTGATTGTATCGAAGTATTATGGTCCGCTTATTCTCGTAGGTTTTGCCTGTCTCACGCGATGCGGCATTTCGGCATGCTCGTGTGAGACACAAAGGACAAAATAGAACACAAAACACAATCCGGCCAAGCTATTAGAAGAATCTACAAAGTGGCCATGTGACCCCTACATTGTGTAACGAATTAAACGTACAGCAATGCTAATATGGTCATCAATGATAGATAATCTGATATTATGGCCAGCGCTGCACCTGGAGGGAGATACCAACTAGCTGGCACTTAATATGAGGGATTAGAGGCGAGCAGGTCTCGAGGACATCATACGGTGGCTCGGGTCGTGGCCCACCACCTATGCTGACCTGTATGCGCTAGCAAGACGACTCAAGAAGGAGGAGATTGACAACTGAGCCAGCCAGGCGACGCGGTGGGAACCGTAGGCTCTTTGACGCCAGCTTGCTGGCTCAAGAATCAGGGTTTGTTAATGCCCTCCACCTCACGACAACGTGACGCATTAGGGAGGTAATGTTTAGGTCTGATAAAAACCTGCGAAACAAATGTGGGAGATGTGGAGCTGGCAACGGATCTCCCATGTGCTGACAACGTGTCCTGAGAATCTCGTGATCATGCCTCCAAGTTCATGTCGCTAGTCTCCGTGATACCGAGTACCAAGGTTGTCTTCGGACGGACGACGGGCAAATCCTCCGGCCATATCGTGGTCACCAATGAGTACGTAGTACAAGTGTTCGACCTCGGTGTGGCATATCAGTCAGCGGACGCGTTGAACCAAGTGGCTGATCTAAGTACAGCGTGCTAGGGTTTGCGCTTCTATGACGGCACCAGAAGCATTTCTTCAGGGATGATGGCTTAATCGTGGACGCCTATGGAGTCATACCAGAGCGTACAAAACGTACGCTACGGGACCTTGGGGTGAAAAGGCTACCTCACGCTGTACTGGTGGCTCTAAGATCGTCGCTGGACATAGCCTGCTGCCATATGGACAGAGTTATACGTTTTGCTCCACCTGATCACGTATATAGCAGTTAGAGTAAGTTTAAGGTCACTACGAGTATTAATTCATCCCTTCGGACAGGTAAAACCAGGCCAGAATTCTACGATACTATCGAGTTATAGGTTAATCACCCTCCAAACTTCTTCCGTCTTCAGAAGTTCATTAAATAACTTCAAAGCGTAGCGTTTTGTGTTTCTTTCATTCGATTTAAGTATTTTTTAACCGCACATACGTGTGTCACATTTCAATTGATTTCAAAGTGACAATGTTATGATTTAGATGCCGTGATTAGGCTTAGAGTAGAAAAAAATAAAAGAGAATAGGGAAGAGACAGTCGGGTCAGGGAGGTGAACAAGATTCCGTGTAGATGAGAGACAAGATAAGTGTGCGATCCTCAAAAGTGTTGTATTCCCTAAAATAGAGTGCTTCGGTCCACTGCGAATTGACTGGAAATAGTGAGTACGTATCCACCCTTGTTCTAAATGGTCTGGCAAACGCTTTGTAGGAAATTACTGTTTATTTAAATTTATAAAAAGTTTTAATTGTTTGTTCACAATTTAAAAGGAAATTTATTGGTTTTAATTATTATTTTCTTGTGTGTTTAATAAATTGTTTTTAAACTTTAATTAAATTTTATTTTAAAAAGGCACCTGATCGGCTGTATTCAGGTTCGATGAAGACCTCTGGGGCTCTGTTTCTCATAAAAAGGATTCAGAGTTGGGCCCGTCTTGTTGAATCGAGAACAGATCGTGACAAAATTGGTAGCAGAGCGTGGTTGATTAAATAAATAAAAAAAATAATTTAAAAAAAATAGTTCAGCTAATATCTGTGATTCGGAAGAAAGTAGTCGAAATGAAGTTAGGTAAGAACCTGATGTTTTGGATAAAATAGGGAATTTAACTTTCCATTCGAATGAATACATTGAAATAATAGAAAACGAAATTTCAGAATTCTTAAATGATAGCCCGCAAATCCAACAAAGAATTCCTAAAAAACAGAGGCAAACCTTTGTCACATCAATATCATCCCGAATTTTAAAAGCTTTAGAAGAAAAAAAGAAATTTATTACAGATCGAGAAATTTGTCGCGAAGCCTCGCCGCCGCAAACCGTAGAATTTAAAACTCTAAAAGGCTTAGGATGTAAAAAGACTGTCGTGCCGATCACTGATAAATTCAACAATATACCTTTCGCTCCATCAATGGCGATGAGGCCTGTGCTAAGCCCAACCGACTCAAATTCTAATCCCGATGACCAATTCATTCCTAAATTTGTAAGCTCGGAATCCGAGGAAGAAAACCCGCGACAAGTTAGAAAATTGGAACAAAAATTTATCAGGGCATCCAAGCTACATCATTCCCTCTAAAACAGAATAAATAAATTACCGCCATTAATATTAAATGATCCTGAATCTATTTTTAATTTCTTGTGTGCATTGTATCCTCTTTTGACTCATTATAAATCGTTAACTTCAGAGATTCTCTTTGTTTTAGCTGAAAATAGCCACGGATCCGTAAGCTCCTTGCTGTAAAATGCCGCACAAAGAAAAGATATAAACTTTAGATCTTTACGTGATTCGTTATTTAAGTTTCACGTATCGCCACAACAAATCCTCAAATTGAAAACCAAATATTTACTTCGGGCACAATCAAAAAGGGAGTCTATCCGGGAATACGTCGACAAACAAATTCAATATGCGAAAATATTCCGGGATACAACGGAAATAGAAACGGTTCGTATTGTTATTGAGCGACTCGATCCTAAATATTTGAGTTTATTGGGTACCAAATTTGAAATATATTCCATAAGTCAGCTCTATAAGGAAATAAGTAAAATAGAATTAATTCTGACTAATAGAGCAGCTACTTCACGTAAATTTTCTTCGGACAGCGACTCAGATTCATCCTATCAACCTAGGAAGCACAAACAAAACAAAGGATACCGAAAATTCATGTCATTAGGCCTAGAAACTAATAAAACCTTTCCCGAACCGATTGATAGAAACCGAGAAAGAAAATACTTCCGCGGATACGACAGACCAATATCATCATTGTCGGAATCTGAATCAAGTGGTCCCGCAAAACCAAAATTTTTTAAAGAGAGAAGATCTTCTGGTAATTATGTAAATAACAGGAATGTCGATTTCAAATCAAACCAGAAAAAACCCAGATATTTTGAACCGCGATATAAAAATAATTTTGGTAGGAATTTTAACAATAGACAATACTACAGCGAATTTTACCAACAAGGTTATGACAGAGGAAATAGGTTTAGCAGACGGGAATATGAACAGGATTTGGAGAGAAGAAATAGTCAGCGTACTCTTGGAAGAGACAATTACAATAAGAGACATCGATTTTGATTACAGAAGGTACACAAATAAAAGTCCGAATTTTCACTGCACTGATGCACGCGAATCCCTTCACATTAATAAATTTCATGACAGACAAAACAAAAATATAAATAAATTTAATGAAGGCTTTGGTAAAGGAAAATACTTGGTGCCTAACAATTTCGAGATGGATAGAAAACAGACAAGGTTCAAAAAGATTATAATTCTTATAACTACCATCCGCAAATAAATAGGAACGAAAACAGGCTCAACCCGCACTATTTTAATAAAATAAAATACCGACGATTTAAATTTCGGGAATCAGCAAAAAACGGAGAGATCTCTGACCAATCGCGTCGGAGAAATTAACAGCAAATACACCAAATTCATCTACAACGGAACAAAATAATAAACATAAACTAAAGCAAAGAAATTTTAATGATGTAAAAGGATTTATAGCTGTCATCGATAAGATCAGTTTAAAATATAATAAATTTCAAAAAACAAATATTTTAAAAGCAAAAACATTCCACTGTCAAAAAAATCATGTAAATTGTAACAAAGGGGTTGGATTAATTACGACCATTATAAATAACAAAATTTCAGTAAATGCACTGATAGATTCAGGAGCAACGAAATCATCAATTTCAGAAACCTTTTATCATAAGCTTGTAAATTCAAGAATAGTTAACCAAAAAAACGAATTTAAGACTAATTTAAAATTAATAGCTGCAAACGGAGAAAATGTAGAACCCAAAAAGGGAATCGAATTAAAAATTAGAATTGAAGAGTTTTCA